TACTCTTGTTAGTTTTCAAAAAATCATTTTCGAGAAAAACACGAATAACTAATAACACGTACTATAACTGTTATTTAAAATCATGGATAATTCAAAAGTTGACTAGGAATTTAAACGTCAAACTTGATGTTCAGGAAAAAAGTTGGAAGAACTTAAACAACATAAATAACATACAATTTGTACTGATAAGTTACAGAAATTATTCAAAATGATCACCATTTTCTCTCATGCTTAAATTTATTCTTCGTCGAAAATTGAAGTCTACTCTATTCAATAACTGCTGACTGTTTGTAATGAATGTGCATTTATCCGTAATGCGATTCCACAATTCTGCTCGAGGTGCAACTGGCGAGGAATACACAAATTCTTTTAACGTTTCCCAAAGAAAGAAGTCACATTTGTTGAGGTCTGGTGACCGTGGAAGCCAAACTTGTGGGCAATTATTTTCTCTTCTAATCATTTTAGTCCAGGGAAGTTAGGAAAAATAGCGGAAATTTTTAGGTGAAGCAGATATCGAGATGCGGTTTTCTGCATTGTGTTCAGGAAGGTCCCAGGAAAAAAGTCTGTATCGTCTGGTTAAGCCATTTTTTGAAAAATGCCTTCTGGGCCGGAAAATGCATTTTCCAATTGCACCATTACTTGCACCATTATAGGAACGACTGGAAACTCGGAAAAATCGCTCGGAAATCGTTACTCGGGGGTTTTGGGGGCTGCCGAACTCTATTCTGGCATTAGAATTACCCGGGGGTGCACGGGGAGGCTCTGTCGGGGTGCGCGGGGGATGAATTGGGGGAGAAATGGCAGCGTGCATGAAAATCGCTACAAACTCGTTACTCGGGGGTTTTCGGGGATGTCGATTTCAATTCTGGCATTGGAATTACCCAGGCGCGTTCGGGGGTGACTCTGTGGGAAATGGTAAGAAGTGAAAAATCACAAATTATGAAAATAATGCTTTATTCAAATAACAAATAGGAGTTTTTATTATTGTTGAATTATTCATTATAAACTTAAATTTTTAACTTAAATCCTAAACATCTTGTTCAAACTCTTCTTCTTCTTCCCCTTCTTCATCTCCTTCCCCTTCTTCATCTTCTTCCTCGTCACTATTCTCGGCCCCGTTGGAGTGCCAGACACCACTCAAACACCAAAAAAGGTCCAAAATCCAAGAAACTTGATTACTGCACTGCACTGTATTTACATACAACGAAAAAGCAATGTGGTCCTAAACGACAGATGTAATACTGATGCCACACGTGATGCCACACAGACGCCGACTGCGCGCGGAAACTGGACCCATATTTTTTCTCTTCAGTCGATACAGAATATTTCTGTTCGCGCCGGTCCCCGTGGTAACGATACTCTACTAGCTTTGGCGCCTTTTTCAAATCCAGTTTCGAGGCACAAAAGACTTCCAAAGCAATTGTTTTTATAATATGTGTATTATTTATTATTCAATCAATATTTTTATTATTCATACCCCCGGGTAATTCTAATGCCAGAATTGAATTCGGCATCCCCGAAAACCTCCGAGTAACGAGTAGCGATTTTTCCGAGTTTCCAGTCGTTCCTATAATGGTGCAAGTAATGGTGCAATTGGAAAATGCATTTTCCGGCCTAGAAGGCATTTTTCAAAAAATGGCTTAACCAGACGATATAGACTTTTTCCTGGGACCTTCCTGAAGACAATGCAAAAAACCGCATCTCGATATCTGCTTCACCTAAAAATTTCCGCTATTCCGGTCAATTTTGATCTAAATGCCCTGGACTATTTGCATAATGGTGGTTAAAAAAAATCTCTAGCAATATTACTAAAATGAGAGGGTGCTCCATCATGCGTAAACCAATGTTCCTGTCAGAGTTGTAGTGGCACCTAGTCAAACTGAAATGACTTTTTTCCTGATCGTCAAGTTTGACGTTTAAATATCGTAGCCAATTTTTGAATTTTCGATGATTCTAAATAACAGATATAATACGTATTATTAGTTATTCGTGTTTTTGTTGAAAACAACAAAGTTTTTTGAAAACTAACTAACAAGAATAAGAAAATTTTCAGAATTAAATTCCCCATAAAATAAAGAATCATTCTTTAAGTCAGTCAACGAGTTAAAATGTTCTTACATTTTAATGGTGCATAATCCCTTATCAGCCCTTTAAAATGCTTCAAGTTAACACGGTGTACCAAATTTGGTTTTTCTGAGTTCAAATATTACTGATATTAATTTTTTTCGAAATTTTAAACTCCACTTGCAAGGCTTATAACTTCTCAGGGGTGCAGCTTAGTGTGAAGGTAAGTTGCGTTAAATTACCATATTTTAGGGTCCGCTACATGCTCCTGATCTATGTCGGTTCTTATACAAAACACCCTATACAGGGTGTTTGTAAATAAGAGCGAAATATTTTAGAGGATGGTTTCCAAAGTTATTTTGTGAAAAAAAGTTCATATAAACGTAGGTCGAAATAAGCTTCGTTTCCGAGATACCTACAGTGTTTAAATTAAATTTTTTTATTTTTATTATTTCAGAGTTTCGAGACTCGAACTTTGAAACACGCTTTGGAGGGATAAATGGGCATTTCTTGGGATGATACGAATATTTCTACTTGCTCCAGTGGCGCTCGTGCGAGAATGCCATAACTTTTTTTAATAAAAATAAATGGTACGCCACTGACTTTTTCACGATTTGATATTTTGTTAAGAAATCCGCCATCAATTCTGAATGAAATTAGTCTCTTCAATTTTTTTTTGTAAGATGCACCGTTTTTGAGGAAAAAAATATAACATATTTTATTGTAGGTTTTGTTCATCTTTTATTTAAGGGTCTCTTTTAATAAAGCGTGATCAAAGCAAAATTTCAACATTGAAAATAAAAAGTTGATATGAATGTGGGTAAAAAATTATTCGATTTCGAGATTCAAAACTTTGAAATAATTAATAAAAATAAATAAATAATTAAATTTTAAACACTCAGAATTTTGATTTGTACAAGTAAGGCAGTATCCAAAGAATAACATTATTTATCAACCTAAAATATACCGGATGATACAAAATGTGCAGACACACCTATAGCTAATTTCGCATTAGAGAAATTATGGGATATAGGCAAACCTTAAAACAAAATTATTTATTTATTACTTTTGGTGGTCATAATTTTTTAAATTTAAATGGGGTTCAGGATTGGATATTAAACACTGTTGTGCTGTTATAGTTCAAATGTATTTTATCAGACACTTTCTTTTCGACTGGAAAGTAGTTAAACTTTATTTTAAATTTAAATTTATCAGAAAAACAAAATTTTAAGTAAGCTACGAAAATTTTTATACATTTTTACATTCAGTAGATGTGGTGGCAAAAACCACATGTGTAAATAGGTATTATATAATATATAAATTTACACAAACACATTTAAATAAAATTGGCAGATTAAACAGTATGTTATATTAATTAAAATCAATCATAATTTTTATTTTGGTGAAATAAATTTTAACTAAAAGAGCACACGTATTCTAATTTTGTTTTGAAAATAAATATATTTAAATTAGAAAATTGCAGACATCCTAAATAATAAATAAATGTAGATGGAATGAATCCTATTGTCTATTGCCTATTACCTTTTGCCTATTTTACTCATGTGCAAGGTGATGTTGTTAGCACCAATACTAAACGAGGTGTGGGATTGACCCTTGATTTTAATCACCCTATATGTTTATAAACTTTTGTCACTAAATTTGTATTTTTCGAATTACTTGAAAATATTTAATTTAGGTAAGATTTATTCTATAAAAACAAACTCTCTTAAAAAAATTATAAATTTATCTAACCCAAAAATTTACGTCAAATAGAAAATAATAACAGCTGCGAATTATAAAAATTGTTTGAATTTGAATCACGCCTCCAAACTTTCTGTTTAGTAGCAGAAGTTCAAGATTACAACAGGAATAAACTATCGGCTCTCCAAACTAATTTATAGTAGTTTTGATCTACCAGTCCACAAAATTTGAATTTTAAATGTTACTATTACGTAGGTCACTAACCCCTGAATAATTTTAAGTAATCGTATAGGTATGTTCTGTAAATAGTTTAATTTATCAACTGTCAACGATTTAGATGTTAGATAAGGGCCATTAAAGTATAAGACATTTTAATTTAATTAAGAATATGTTAAAGCATTAAGTTCAAAAAGTTTAATTCACTCTTTAGTTATTTCTGACTTCCCAGAACTTCCCGAAATATTGCATTTCAAAGAAATTTATGAAATGTTCTCTACAACTTTTCCCCCTAAATTCCGCAGGCAATTAGAAATTTAAAACTTGCAGTCTACTCGACTTGGTTCAACATCCGCCAGTGTTAAATTTTGATTAAAAGCCTTGCAATAAATTCATAAGTCTAATAATGAGCAGATATTCTTACACTCGCTTAAACAAATTTAACAGCGTGTTAATAATTCAAAATGATTGATTTTGTTATTGACCGGCCGTTTGATCTCCTCCAATATTTAGTAAACCTCCCAGGTAAATATTTGAGTCAAAGTTTATTTTAAAACACAATTTATTTCATTTCTTTTAGTTAAATCAACGGGTACACCGATACAATTTGATATTAATATATAAACCCCAGTGTTTGCGTAAACTAGAAAGTGAGCGTTATGTAAATTTTTCTGGGAAGTATTGATCAAAGTGCACGTTCCGTAATTTAAAACCGCATTATATAAATATTTAATTATATCCGTAAAATGTAGTATTTAGAATGGACAGGATTTAATGTGCTGTTGAAACTTCTCACAAATTTTTAACGTAAAATATTAATGTAACGTATTGGAAAGCCTTCAAGCAGGTGTATAAATAAAACGTTGAATATATTCAGGATTTGATTGTGTCCCAAATTTTACACGAAACTTTTAAAAAGTTTCAGGTGGTGGTACTTCACGAACACTTAGGTAACATTTTACACAACTGGCTTGAAAGTACGTTAACGGGAACTTAAGGGTGTAGTCGGATTTACCTACCTAAGGCATATCGCAGTCATACTATTACAACACACTGTATTCGAACGAGGCGCGTTGGCGTCGCGACGCCCTGGACACGGTTATTTCCGTCCGTAGCTGCTGCTATACTGACATACGGTAAGGCGCCTCGGCGGCTCGTCGAGTACAACAGTTACCTGTAGTAACCGCAATGCGCGCATGTGCTTCCGATTTTTAGAAAACATGAAAAAAACATGTGCACCTGAATAAATTTCGAAGTAATTGTCTATTAATTGTTTTCGGATCTACTCGGATAACGACTTGATTTGGAGCAAACGAACATCCATACTTAAACTTGAAATTTTAAGATAATTGAGCACATGATAAATTTTAATCATTTTAATCATTCAGAATTACTAGTATAATATATATAGGGTGTCCCGGTACTTGATACAAAAAAGTCTAGTACAAATAGATGAGGTCAAAATAATATCAGTTCTTCATATACAGGGTAGCCCATCGAAAACGTACCGCAAGGCATTACAGGGTAGTAATGAACTTTTCGGCAAAATCCAAAAACAGGTAAAGTTTGCTTCTGAGGGGGACAACTTTTGGCGCAAAAAGCATAGCAAAATCTTCAACCCCCTAAGTGGGGGTGCCATCCCCCAAATTTTTTTAAATGGGAATGGGGGTCAAGTGGGGGGTCATTAGAAAGGGCTTTTAATTCTCTATACATCGATTCTTACTTTTTGAAAATCGATCCATTATTTTAGAAAATATGCAGCTTTGAAAATACGAACAATATTTTTGACGAGAAATGCGAAAATCGATTTAATTTTACTTCAAAACTTACGGTATTAGCTTGGTAAATTCCTTCAAAAGAATTCGCTTTTTTTTTTTCTGATTTGCGAATTCTTTAGCCTGATTTTGGTGAGCAAAAAATTGTCCGCTTTTTGTTTCGTATTTAGATAGGCCACAAGAAGTTGCTAGATAACTGTCTTGTGACTTGTAGTTGAAGAGTACCAATACTGCCGAGTCTTTTAAATTGATTAATTATGGTGTACTCAATTCCAGAAAGAGTAGAAATTATTGAGCTTTTTTTCAAAAACAATGAATGCGGAAATCGGGTCGCCGAACTGTTCAACCAACGGCATCCTGAGAAACATGCGTCTGGAAAAATTGTTCGCGAATTGGTGGCCAAATTTCGCGAAACTGGCTCCGTTCATAACAAAAAGAGGCAGGTTGAAAATCCGGTACTAAATGAACCTACGGAAATAGCGGTATTGGGGCAAGTGGCAATGGATAGTACGCTGAGTACAATGCAATTGGCTACTGCGACAGGAGTGAGTCGTACAAGTGTCCAACGAATATTAAAAAAATACAAATTCCATCCTTATAAGATTCGGCTAGTGCAAGAGCTAAATGAAGACGATTTTGATCGTCGTTTGCAATTTTGCGAAATAATGACTGAACGAGCGATAAACGATAATTTCCTCTTTAATGTGTGTTTTTCGGACGAGTGTACGTTCTTCTTGAATGGTTTAGTGAATCGCCATAATTGTCGTTACTGGGCTGATACCAATCCAAGGATTTTCCATGAGACACACTCCCAACACCCCCAGAAGTTGAATGTATGGGCAGGTATTTTTGGAAATTCCATTGTAGGTCCTTTTTTCCTTCCTGGAAATTTGACAGGCGATATGTACTTGGATTTACTACAAAATGTCATCGACCCAGCTCTAACAAATATCATAGAGGACGACCCTGCTTACAATGAACACGAACTGATTTTCCAGCAAGACGGAGCTCCTCCACATTACTCGCTCAATGTGCGCAATTACCTAAATGAGACGTTTCCAGGACGCTGGATAGGACGAAGAGGTGCAATTGAGTGGCCCCCTCGGTCACCCGACTTAAATCCTTTAGATTTCTTTCTCTGGGGGCACATTAAAAGCAAAGTTTACAGCACTCCACCTGATACCTTGGAAGATCTGCGAGGACGAATCATTAATGTATGTCGCGAAGTAACACCGCAAGTGCTCCAGAATGTTCGACAACGGTTTGAAGACAACCTGTATCATTGTATGCAAGTTGGCGGACAACATTTTCAGCATTTACTTGACTAATACCGTAAGTTTTGAAGTAAAATTAAATCGATTTTCGCATTTCTCGTCAAAAATATTGTTCGTATTTTCAAAGCTGCATATTTTCTAAAATAATGAATCGATTTTCAAAAAGTAAGAATCGATGTATAGAGAATTAAAAGCCCTTTCTAATGACCCCCCACTTGACCCCCATTCCCATTTGAAAATATGTAGGGGATAGCACCCCCACTTAGGGGGTTGAAGATTTTGGTATGCTTTTTGAGCCAAATGTTGTCCCCCTCAGAAACAAATTTGACCTGTTTTTGGATTTTTCCGAAAAGTTCTTTACTACCCTGTAATATCCTTGCGGTACGTTTCCGATGGGCTATCCTTCGTTAACAACTTACGGGCTCTCAAAAGTGAAAATAAAAAGTCCTTAAACTATTGACTTCAGCATGATGCAAATTTGGGGATCGATAACACATCCATTCAGTTTATTTTTTATGTTGTCAGTGAAACTTCATTATGCCCAGAACGCCATGGGCGGACTATGCTCAATAGTTAACAACCCAGAATTTTTGCACGATCGCAATCTGCCTGTATCTTTAATAAGTTCCCTGAAGAATTTGCCAACGATAATCAATAATTGGTTCAACTCGGTAAAATTAACAGTTTAGGAAATATGCGATTTTACGTCACAGTACACATCAAGTGGCGCCTCCACCATTTTTTGTTTTTAATTTTTAATTGGACATACATAATTGCGATGTTAGAACCGTACATATCTTTAAAATAAGAGCCTAGAAAATCTTACTGTCTGCTAATATCATTTTTGACTAACAAAATTTGTCAAACCCATTTTACACATAATACAAAATAGAAAAACAAAACAAAGTTAAAGCTAAAAAATAATTTAAAAGAATAAAAACTATTAAAATACATCAAGACCTTCACACATTTCCTAAGTCTTCGAGTGTTATTTGTTTGTACACGAAAAATCATTTCTAGGGTAATAATTTAATAGGTCCATACGTTTTTGAGGATTGCCTGAATAGGAGTTTTTGCAAAATAATTTTCAGTCAATATTAGACGAAAGATGGTTCATGCACGATGGGGCTCCTCCCTATTTCAATATTGATCTACGAAATTATTTATCCATTGTGTTTAATAAATAAATGTACAGAGAGAGGAGGCTCAATTTCATAGCTACCACGTTCTCCAGACTTTAACGCGATGGACATTTTCCTGTCGAGATACCTGAAAAAGTGGTGGAATGTGTCCTTATTGAAAATGTATTTCGATAGTTTTTTTTCTTTAATTTTTTTTTTACTTACTTTAACTTATTCCTGTTTTGATTTTCCATTTTGTGTTATGTGTAAAGTGTGTTTGTTAAATTTTGTTAGTAAAAATTACATTAGCACACAATAATATTTTCGAGGCTCTTATTTTAAAAATATGTACGGTTAGTAATTATGTCTAATTAAAACTTAAAAACCAAAAATGGTGAAGGAGCCGTTCGATGTGTACTGTGACATAAAATTACAAATATTTCCTAAACTGTTAATTTTATCGACTTGCGCCAAGAGGGTATTATCGTTGGCAAATTCTTCAGGGAACTTATTTTTGCGATCTTCATCTCTGGGTTGTTAACAATTGGGCCTAGTCCGTCGCTGGCGTTCTGGGCATATTAAAGTTTCACTTACATCAAAAACAAGCTGTATGTATGTGTTATCGATCACCAAATTTGCATTGTACTCAAGTGAATAGTTTAAAGACTGTAAAATAAAATTACCTTTTTAATTTTCACCTTTGAGGGTCCGTAACTTGTTAAGGTGGCCATATCCCTGGCCGAGAAATAGTCAAATTTCTGGCATTTTTAGGTACTGAAATCTTGAAAAGTAAAACGTGTAGAACAAAAGTAAGCACAAAAATAAAATCATTGATGTTCTGTTTATTCATTGTTACTATTTAAATTTACTCAAATAAAATAATAACTAAAAAAAAGCGTTTGTAAAACATGCGTTTGCTGTTATCCTAACCCCACATTTTAAGAATTATTTTCACGTACTTATAAATAAAAGTAAACAATTTTATATGTAGGACTAAGCAAGTAAATGTTATAAGAATATTTACATGTGGAGTTGTATATAAAAAAGTTAGTATTTTCGTAGATTTCAGTACCTAAAACCTTGATGGTTTGATCGATTTTTGCACCTGTTTATTCGTTTCACTGCGGCGTCTTTGAAAATACCCAGATGGCGTGACATAACATTCCTATTATTTGATAAGCTTTAGATTATTTAGTTATTAAATGTTTGAAATTATTTGTCTTTATGGAAAACACTATTTAAAGAATATGACGCCCTTAACGAAGGCCTGTATGAAAAAAATTTATATAAAGAACTGATATTATTTTGACCTCGACTTTTGTATATCAAGTACCGGGACACCCTGTATATACAAAAAAAATGAGGTACAACTGAATCAAAGAAATTGTTGAAAAAGTAAGTAGGTACACGTAGTAAACACATTAAAATACACTGTAAATAATGTAGATAAGTACTTTTATCATTTTTATAAAATTCTAAAATTTATTACACGAGATTTGTTTAGAAAATACTCGAACTTTTTGAAATACGCGCTAATGGAGATATTTAGTGATATGCGGTTGGTAGCTCCTCTGTAACCACATGTTCTTAGATTGATATCTCATTTAGTTTTGATGATACTGTTACTTGAGTGCAACGTGTTTTAAGGGTCAAATTCAAAGACATCCCTAAATCTATACTAACCATAGATTTATTAGTAAAGGTCTGATGATGCTCCACTCAACTTAGGGTGCCCTCATCGCATTCTCAATTCTGATATTCAGAAATGTGTATAAATGAGTGACTAACTTAAGTGTGCATCAAACCACAAATTATTAGATAAGGGCTAATCAAATATTACAAAAAATATGTCATAAGTGGAAACCTATTGTCACAGCATTTTTTAATTTTGAATTTCAATAATCTATGTTGAAAATATACCGGGTGATTTAGTT